ATTTTACACGCCGGCTGTAACAAGTTTCGAAAACTATTGGGAAACATGGTAAATGCTGGAAATCGTGATTGTAAGACTGCGGCTGACGCCGCAGAGAGTTCGAGCGATTTCTCGCCGATATCTTGGAGGTTGATTAGACATCCAATTGACGTTGGATGTTTACTTGTTAAAGCCGCGTACGGTCCCTCTTAAACTTCTTCGAAACTAAACGGAGGTGTCATTAAATGTGAATCATCTCGAAGAAAATATTGTAAATAAATCTGAAACTCTTCCCAGAGAATTTATAACAACGCTTCATAGGATTAAATCCTGAATATCCGAGCTTTCCAATAAAAACAGCTCCGTTTACTTTTAGCGCGTTAATTTATTAATCTGTTTTCACGACGAGTTCGCTAATTGGATGCATTAATCCATTTCAAGTAGTCATCAGCGACTCTCTCTCGGTCTCGCCAGCGTGGACTCTGTCGCATGACAACTCATTGCGCTCACGCGACGTGCTCTTCTTCACGCGTCATCATGAGACAATCGCGTGCGAAAATGACACGGCACGTCTCCGAGTCCTCCGTGGGAATACAAAGGAAATCGGGAAAAGCGCTCCGCAGACAACGAACAGCGCGATAAACAATCGCAGAGCGTGCGTGGCATCTCGCTGAGGATAACCGCCCGCGCGCGCGCACCGATAACAGAATGCGCTCCCTTTCTTCCGCCTCCCGCCCCGAGCGCTCTGAAGAAGACATTTGCATCAACGACGTATTGAAACGTTCAGCGTTTGTTCGATTTCGCGGGATTCATGGATTCCTCTGCGCGCCACCGGGAAAGTTGTAACGAGCTGACACGGCGAATTGGCATACGGATTTATGCAAATGGATTTGCGCCGGAATATGAGCGAGGCGAGAGGCGAGGCGAGGCGAGGCGAGGCGAGACGGGGCGAGGTGAGGCGAGGCAAGGCGAGGCGATGATTACGCTGCGACGAACGCACCCGCGAAATCGTACGTTACGTAAGCGCGCCACCGTTACAAAAATTTTTAATCACCTCTCGGTGGAGGCGGATCCTACCAACGCGCCGAGTTTGTCGCAAAAATGCGTACCTCAGGAAAAAGAAATAAATGTAGACGACAGATCGGTGAAGATCGCGGGATCGATGCTATTACCGGCGATTCCGCGACTCGCGCCCTTAAATTTCGCGAGGCAGGACTGAGAGCCGATGAGGAGAGGATCGGCGAGTAGCCGATTAATCGAACGAGGATAAGAGTGGCGATCGAGCGGATCTTCCGCTTTGGACATCGACCGGCCACTGCCGATCTCCGGTATATCGCAGCCTTGGAAATCGGTCTGAGAGCCTGCGGCGCAATTTCGGTGTCGGATAGAGATCCGCGTCAGGAGCGTATAGCCGCGCAGGAGGTCGCCGTTGCCGTTCTTATGCCGGCGTTCGAATCACCGCGCGCATATCAATATAGACGGCCCGATCCATCACGCATTGAAATCTTTCCCGTGCCGAAGGGGGGGGGGAGGGGGAGGAAAGGAAGGGGCCGCGGGGTTCGCGAGTCCATCCTAAGAGCCGAAGAGCGGTGGGGGATGGTGCGCGCGCGAAAAATTTACCCCGCGATAAGGAAAGTTTTCTCCGCGAGGCTGGGAGGAAAAAGGGAGAAAGTGTGCGAGGGGGAGGGGGAACGACGAAGGATCTCACATTTCATTCGCGATAATCGTGCGAGATTCGTCGTTGACAAGCCGCGCAGCTCTCGCGCGGATTCGGGGTGATCGTCTCCATCGTTTTTAGAATTTACGGTATTGCGTTGTTATACGCTATTGTGAGTCTCGCGGAGAGTCGAAGCGTGTCACACTCGTCAGGCACATGTTCGCCTAATTTCGTGCGTGGTCTGCTCGGACGAGCGACTGCTTCGCCTCTTCGCTGAGAGAGAGAGAGAGAGAGAGAGAGAGAGAGAGAGAGAAAAGAAGAAGAAGAAGAAGAGAGGAGGGAAAAGAGGAACAATATCTGATTGCCAAAAAGCCGTCGCATCGTGGACAAAACAAAAGGAAAGAAAGGGGGAAAGAGCGTGCCATCGATGGCAAGCCGGATACGAAAGCCAGAATTCGTTGAGCACTCAAAACCGAGTTGCTTCCGCGGCCGGGGAATATGTTGCGGGAGAATATGGCGCGGCCAAATGCAATTTGGAAATTACCTCGGGCGTGGCGATAAGTTAACTCGCGCCGCCGCCGCCGCCGCCGCCGCCGCCGCCGCCGCCGCAGCCACCGCCGCCGTGTTTTCGTCCGACATTTTTAGGTTGCTCACGAATTTCCCTTAGAGCAGGTGCTTACGATAGGGGAATATGTGTGAGGAGAAAATGCGAAGAGCGCGGGCACCGCATGCGAAATATTACGCTATACACGTACACGTATACAGTACATACATATATTTTTTTTCCCACCTCGATATACAGAGAGAGACGTAGAATTTACTATTTTTCACAATACGCTTCCGTTCCAATGTTTTTTCTTCCTTTTTTTTTTTTTTTCAATGGCTCCTCTATAAAACAAAGCGATTTTCAAATATCACACCGTGCAATCGAGCGAAAAAGCATCTATAAATTTCCCATTGAAAGAGGCAGTAATAGCACAGGGATAGCAGTAGCCGGGCCGCCCCTCCCCCGCGCGCCTACTTTTTTCCATAACAACCACCCCGAGAATCTACAGTGCTGACTCTCGCAATATAGCCGCGGACAATGTACACGTGCTTTTAATTAGAGTATACAAGGCGGCGCATTACAGCGCACGCAAGAATGAAGCTTCGCGAATTTCACGCCGAAGAAAAATAACGGAGCCTCGCGAAATGAACTGAGAGAGAGAGAGAGAGAGAGAGAGGGAGAGAGAGAGAGAGAGAGAGAGAGAGAGAGAGAGCTTCCCGGGCGACTTGCGACTGACAAAGCGGCGACGAGATTACACCGCGGATCTCGTTCCGACGCTGACGAATCGCTCGTCCGACAAACGATGCCAACAGCGAGGAGACTCGACTCGGTCCAATAAAGAGAGCGTCTTTCGGCAACGACGAGCAGCCGCGCGAGGCCCGCAAGGATTTTTAATGCGGTTTACCGCGGCGAGACTCGTGTAGCCGACAATAAATATTGGTTATCGAGCTTTCAGCCGTATCACGCGATGCATCGGGAGTGTCGCGAGTCCGCATGACGCATGGCGAGCGAAATGGAGTGTAGCGGTGCATTAAAGAATTGCGATCTTAATCACGCAACACGTACGAGAGCTCGCGCGCAGCTCGCCGATAACGTTTTGTAGCGCTTAGAGCTCCGCTCCCTGCATTTCCTTTCTCTCTTGTTTCCTTTTTTTATCCGACAATTTTTAGAGGGGCAATTTTTAATGTGACAAACAAGCGAAATAACGCCGTTCCGCACAGGTCGCAGCAATTCCGGAACGCGCGAAAGAGAGTCCGATGGAATTTTAATTGTAAATTTCCGCGAATCCGCACATTTTCGGAACGTATCGCTTGATTCTCTTCCCTCCGACGATTCAATTTACGCTTTGCGAGGATGAGGGAGGAAGCTTTCGCGTTTCCATCAGTCCGAGAGGTCCCGCTGCTCGATCAACGGATTTGTCAACGCGTCGCGATCTCACACACAGTCGGCGAGCTTACCGACTAGATACGCGTGCGCACGCGTAATTTTTCTCCGTCCGAAATAATCTTATTGGAATATCACTTACTAATCTCCCTGGCGACTCTTAAAACCCGCGCGCGAAAAATTAATTAAACTTTCTACATTCGCTCGGAACTGCCGGCCCGGTAGTTTTCTCGGACGCGCGCGCGCGCGCTCAACTCTTTTTCGTAAAAATGTGCCGGGCGCGACGGTTTCCTTAATTAACAGCATTCTCATTGGAGCGCCGTAACCGACGCCGGCAGACATGTGCCGAGTGTTCGCTGATTCGAAGAACACAGAAGTAATCTCGCGCATCGGCGATCTTTTGTCTTTTCCATCGCCGCGACGCAACGTATCGCACATCGGCTTTAAGGGAGGAATTACATGCGGAGCAGGTCGTTTGCAAGGCTATTTTTACGAATTTTTTTTTTAACAGAAACGGTAAGATCAATGGACTTGAAATTTTCACAGTGTATTCATTAATGTTCAAAGTATAAAATAAATCTGTTACTATCTGTATAAAAAGTACACATAAAAGTCTAAGTAGACAAAAACTACCGAATCGAATAACTTAAAATTTTTACACAATATACAATGGACATGTAGTTTTCGCCCCTATCTCGGACGCAGTTATATTTTATTTTGTTCGTTTTTTTTAAACATGTTGCTACAAGTTGAAAAAAGTTTCATTTTCGATACTTTTTTGTACAGTCATTATTTTTCCAAATTTGGCTCCACTTTGGTACGGGCTGTAATGGCAATCGAACCTTTTTAAAATCTTTCTCATTTTTTTGGTTTCAGAGTAGTGAGAGGCCCGGAATTATATCGACAGCAAATACAGAGCTCGCAAATGGATGACTGCATGTTTATCTATAATTACAAATTGGATCAGGGGTTCTTGTGATTCGATAAAATTTATTTTATACTTTGAACATTAATGAATACGCTGTGAAAATGTCAAATCCATTGATTCTACCGTTTCTGTTAAAAAAAAAAAAACTCATAGAAATAGCCTTGAAAATGGCCTGCTCCGCATATAATTCCTCCCTCAAATGAACTCCCTCGCACTCCCTATCGACCATTGTAACGTGTATTCCCCAAATTCGCGAAAGGTCGCCTGGCGAATCGCGGCCATTAATTGATCTCCGCTCGCGATGCTCGCGCCGCCGACTGACAAGCTCGATTGCGCCTACCGAACCGCGCGCTGCGCAGCTATTTAACGTCATTACGATAATTTAATATCGTTCGGCTGATTAGCCGTTCGCCCCGTGGAGTGAAAGCACTCACGGGAGTCCTTTACCGTCGCCGCCGCTGGTTGAGCCCGCTTTAATGGAAGCTATCGACGTTTTGCATTTTCAGAGACGGTGTACGATTTAATGGAAGCGTCGGTGTCATCGATGACCGACGACAACAATCTCTACATAGACGACGGCCTGGACGGATTCCCCGCATTTGGCTTTCGGCCGGGCTCCGAGGTGAAGCAACCCTACAGACTGTACCTGCCGGAAAAGTTGCCGGCTGAGTTCACTCTGGTGGCCACGTTCAAGCCGACCTCCTTCAGAACGAGCTACCTCTTCGCCGTCCTCAATCCCTTCGAAACCGTCGTCCAGTTGGGCATTAGAATTTCGGTAAGCCGCGCATAGAGCAGCGCCACGCTCCGTCGTGGAAAGCCGATTTTCTATCGCCGCTTTCTTTTTTCGCCCGGCCCCAACCTCCGAGGGAGAGAGAGAGAGAGAGAGAGAGAGACAGACTATGACGACGAAAATGATTATTGCGAGTCCCCGGGATTTCTCACTTTTGGGAACGTTAATGGCTTTATTAAGGATTATACGACAGACATTGGCTGCCGCTCTCTCTCTCTCTCTCTCTCTCTCTTCCTCGGGGCGTGCGCAGCGCCGCCGTGACGTCGGGGAAAATAATAGCGCGTGAGATCAGAGAGGCAAATGTCGCGCGGAAATGAAGGGGATGAGGTACGACGTCATATGAAATCACGAAGGAATCTGCTTTTACAGCTCGCTGGTTATTAGCTCCCCGAGCGCGCTTTATCAGAGCGGCCGTGTGAGACATTCTTGTGTATTCGGTCGCGCGTATAATCCTTCATCAGCAATTTCGAATGTTCCAGGCGGAATGCCCGACGACACCGTGGTCTTTGTGCCGCTCCACGTGAAATCCGCCCTTCGCGCGCGTAAAGTGAAGGCACCGGCCTTTAAAATCGCGAGCGCTTCAACTTTCAACGTGTAGAATACACATGCGCACGTTGAATACATATGTATTGAGCTTGATGCGACAAGTTCGTAGGAATTTGCACGGGCAGCCGAGAAAGAGAGAGAGAGAGAGAGAGAGAGAGAGAGAGAGAGAGAGAGAGAGAGAGAGAGAGAGAGCGGATACTTTTATAGTTAGACATAACCTTATTCAATAATGTATCGACCGTTTTTCTTTCTCCTCAAGATAGCGTGAGGTCGTAGGAAAAAAACGAGAAAGTAAAGTGTAAGCGCCTAACTGTAAAAGTACCGGCTTCGTATTTCTCGTAAAGAAGAAACCCTTGCGGATCAGCCCGGCGCACATATGCCGCGTTGAAAGTTTAAACGTGCGTATTTAAAGGCCAAGAATATCCAGAATTAGATACGTGCCCCGGCATATCGATACTTCTGCCTCGCGTTGTCTCGTGAAAAGCACAAAGGCACGGTCGGATTTCATTTCGCCTGAAAAGTCCGAAATTATCTGCATCGGAGCGGCCAGTGCGTCACGCGGACGCGAATAAATATCCCGCGGAACGGGAAAAGAGGAGAAACGAATCTTTGCGCGGGCATCGCGATATTCCGCGCGTTCCTCGCGCGATGCTTCCTCCTTTTATTATCATGTCCCGAACGGCAACCTCCTCCTCGCCGCTCTTATTATGCGATGCTGCGCTTTAAGCGATCTCTTAGCGAACGCTGTCTTCCGCTTGCCGATTCCCCGGCTACCGCCGCCGTTACACGTTCGATCTTCAAATTTCTCCCAGCCCCTCCAGCGCTGCGCTCCAACAGCCATTCTCGTAACATGTCATGTACGTGTTCCGAACAATAAGCGAGCGGGGGAATGCTTCGGACATTTCCGCGGGGGAACCTCAATACACCCGGAGATACTCGCAAATAATACTGCCATTGTTCAACACGTGAAATTGCTGCGGGAGTATACTTGCCGCGCTTTATTTGCTTGAATCACACAATTTCGCACGAGCTAGCCCACCCTCTTCAAGATTGATCTTGCGTGACTCGGCCGCAAGTGCGATTCGTCGATATACGAAAGACGCGTCTCGTCTTCGGACGCTAGCGTCTTTCGTCCAAACGAACAGCCGCGTTTACTCCACCGAGAGAGAGAGAGAGAGAGAGAGAGAGAGAGAGAGAGAGAGAGAGAGAGAGAGAGAGAGACGATTACTCGCTTGCGGCGGCGGGATCTCACGCGAGATTACCATTATCGCGATGATTCACGTAGCCGCAAGATACAGGAGCGATCTCTCGGCAGAGAGCTCGCAGCGAAAGCGTCCGCATTGACCGCATATTCCGCAGGACGGACCCGGCTCGAACCAGAACATCTCGCTGGTCTACACCAACTCGGACGAGCACTCGCTTTCGGAGGAGGTGGCGAAATTCACCGTGCCGAAGCTGACGAGGAAGTGGTCGAAGATCGTCATTAAGGTCTCCGCCGCCGACGTCACCTTCTACCTCAATTGCCATGAGATGGCGCGCCAGAGGGTCACCAGGATCCCCCAGAAATTAGTATTCGACACCGCCAGCACGCTCTACATCGCGCAAGCTGGACCGCACATCCAGGAACGATACGACGTGAGTACCCCCGACAAGAACAGTAGCTTCTCCGTCCTCGCGGTTCTCGCGCGCGCGTGCGCGCGCGCGCGCGCGCGAACGAGAAGAACGGACAAGGAGCGGAAGAAAAAAGGAAGAAGGAAGGAAGAGAGATTGGCATGCCGTGGGCGTTCGTGCGCGGCGCGCCGATGCGATTGCGATTGCGAAACGAAACGAAACGAAACGAAACGAAACGAAACGAACAGCGCTTGTTGCGCGGGAAATCGACGTAGCCGCGTTCTCGCAGCTCGCAGTTCGTACGCAGTACGAACGCAACGAGTAAAGAAACAAATGTGTGTGTGTGTGTGTGCGCGCGCGTTTCGAAGCGCGCTTCTTGCATCCCTTTTTTCTCGTCGTCGTCGGCTTTCTTTCTCTTGCCCTTTTGTCTTCGCGTTTGTTACGTCGACTCAAGTGACCGGCGCGGCGTTAAGCTCGTTTCGTTTCTCGTTTCGCGAGGCAGCGCCGCGCACCTTTTCTCTCTTCTTCCGGAGCACGACGTCGTTCTCGTCTCATTCGCGGGCAAACGCCCGGGAATCGATCCCGTTCTTGTCAGAATATTAAACGAATTCATTAAGGACCTTTTCCAAGGAAGGGACGCGCGCGCGTGCGCGCTGGGAAGATACGAATCCCTCGAGAACATTTAACCCTCTGGAAACCCTTTGTCCGCTTTCAAAAAGTGGCACAACGGGCAAATGTCAAAGTTTCACCGCGGAGTGTAAATAACGAGAAAAAATTTTTCGTGCATTTTACAATTAATGAATGCGCTTCAGTTTATTAATGTTTCATAAAAGTTGTTGGCAGCATTATCGCCTAGACGCTACAATCAGAGATCCAAACGACTCCTTTGTCACTTTTCCGATAGAAATCATTCCAATTTGACGGGAATATTTTATATTCTTATTTAACGTTTAATAAAGCTGAGAGGAAATAAATGTGTTTTCCCCTTGCAGTATGCGATTTTTTTTCGAGTATTTGTTTTTCGTTTTTTTAGTTACGCAGAAATAAATAAACAAAGACGATACACAGCGGTGAGCAAATCCAGTGATATTTTAAGAATGCAGGTACACGCGCCTCTTTTTTCTCAGAGTTACACGATAGAGGGTTCCCTTCGCCACTCAGCTCGCCGATTGCTCGGAGTGCGAGTGCGCGCCGCTAATTCCCCGCGATTGAGACGAGAACGGCGCTCGCGCTCGGGGATCCCCCGGCGAACCTTTAGCCTTACACACATGCTTCATTGTCGCCACTTGTTTCACGAGTCTCGTCGTATTAAGAGGGCACCGGGGGGATAAAGTTGAAAATAAAGCGCGGCCGTGGAATTAAACGCGGCGGCGACTCGTGGAAGTAAATCCGAAGCGGTATATCCTTTAAGAATTTAATACCGTATCTGGCATCCTGATAAAATAAGTAAAAAGGAGGTAAAAGGATGGCACGGACGTGAAGAGAGAGGAAACGCCGTCGGATAAGGCGCCGCCGCGCCCGGCTCGCGCGGGCGGCGAACTCGGAAGGAGAGTGAAGAAGAAACGAAATACCTCATCGAGATCCTATATATCGATGTTACAGATCTGTTGTCTCGCGGGTATCCACTATCGCTCTCTCAAAGAGCACTCGACGAACGGCTCGAGAGCCCTCCCCGCCCCCACCGCACACAATGAAAGACGACAGATTCTCGTCGGTCGAGCGTTTATGTTCCACGTTAGAGAGCGGCAATTTGTGTGATCGATCTTTTCGCATTAGCGGTAATTTACCGTCGACAAGAGACTCGCGGAAACATCAGACTACAAGCCAGCCAGAGTAGCAACCTGTTTGTCGCTCAACTCTGCGCTTGCGGTACGATTGCGGTACGTTGGGTTGTTGCGCGAAAGTAACGTGAAACGATGTAACGTACGCCGCGTGACGCGTGTGAGAGGGCGATGATGTATAAAAATAATGATTGCGATACCATTAAGGATATAATTTATACACGCATTATTATACATGCGGAATAATGAGGTAATGATAAATACGGGCGAGCGATGTTAAACCGGAACGTAATCGAAAGGCGAAGGACGCAACAAACGCGATTGCGATATAGCGAAACCGCAGGAGCGGCGGAGCCGCGATTCGAGCAAACATCGGCTTTGATCGCTTTGAAGTCTCGTTTCTCCAGACAATGACGCTTTTACGTGTAATCACGTTTCACGCGGTATAATTAATATCGCGGCATTATGCGCGCGCACGGCAGCGGCGTTTCAACGTATCATCGCGGCCCTTTAGAATCGCCGTATCACATTAACAGCAAGGACAGGCATGATTACGTATCATCGATACGAGGGAGAGGATAATTAGTCCTCGTCCTGGCGCAACATGATCACCTACGAGCGGGGGACGCGCCCACGTGTTGCACGTCGATGCGCGAAATGCATTGATTTGCTGGATCCTCCGTTAATTAGTCATTCGCGATAATAGGCGGACTGTGACACATTGCAATATTTCGCATCGGTAATGCGCCGCTGCTTTTATCTCGCTCCCGCGAGAATTCCCCTCTTCCTCCCTCTATTTCGTTTGTACTCTCCCCCCTGTCCCTCTCCCTCTCCCTCTCTCTGTCTCTCTCTCTCTCTCTCTCTCTCTCTCTCTCTCTCTCTCTCTCTCTCTCTCTCTCTCTCTGTTGAAATAATTAATTCATGTACTATGTTAATATATTTGTACCGAGCATCCACGGTTCTTTTATGGTTTCAGCCGTAACAACGCAAAATACATAGTAATTTTTCCATATTAATTAATATTTAGTTCCGAGCGCGACATATTTTATAAACGGGCGGACGCACGTACAGTGTGTGTGAGAGAGAGAGAGAGAGAGAGAGAGAGAGAGAGGCAGTTTGGAACTTTGTACATTAACTTAACAGGCTCTGCCAAAATCGTATACTTTGTAAAACCTAATTATCAGCCATCTTGTCGTCGGCGTGGCGAGGAGGAAATTCCCATTTCGGTCGCGCGTCTTCATCAAATGTGGAAACTACCGAAAGCTCTTGCGCTGCTATGGCGTACTCGCGAGCGAGACGCGAATACACGATTGAAATTTAAATAGCGGATTTTTAATGATTCGGTCGCGACCAAAATAATGAAACGAGGGCAATCGGATGACGGTGTGATAAAGGTACGGCTATAAAGTATCTCGCACGTACGACTACAGACATCGGGAAAAATGGAAAGGAAATGCGTAATGTCGCCGGCGGAGCTGATAAAATACAGTTTGCTCGAGTATCGCGGATAAAATATGAGAAGCGCGGAAAATATGAAAACGCGAAAAATATCCTCGGCGCTCGTCTTGCTTTAGCATATTTTCAGTTCATAAGCGCGCGTGCGCTCTCTCTGCTCAAGACTCCCTCCCTCCTTCCTGCCTCCTCCCGCGCTCTTTCCACCCTTAAGAAATCATCGAATTTTCCTCGGTCGCGCAGAATTACGAACGCGTGCGCAAATATGCCGCGAGAAGCGCGGAGAGACGCTCGTGCGATTTCCGCGATCTGTTCAGCGATTCTCGTCCAAAACGACGACGACGACGACGACGACGACGACGACGACGACGACGACGAGGAGAACGAGGAGGAGGAGGAAAAGGACGACGACGCGCGGTACGTGGCATCGCACCCGAGAGACATTCTTATCGCGCATCCGCTGTCGTTCTAGTCTCGCGGTGTCGCTTCCTGCGTCTCTCGTCTGACTTTTTCATGTCGTCCTGGAATAACAGCGAGCGCGGCCGCGCGACGGAAAAGTTCCGATCGGAACGATTTTCAAGTTCTCACCCCGCGCGGGCTAATCTCTATAAATTGTGGCGCGACGACGACGACTACGAGACGGACAAGGGATGTTTTGCGAGGTGGTAGTTCCGCAAAGAGGACGCGGATATGGGCCACCATTTTCTCTGGAGACAATGAGACATTCGTATTTTGTACCGCGGAAGCAATGAGGTTAACGCAGCGTGTACGCGAGCGAAAGTTTACGATGCTCTCCCCCTCTCTTTCTCCGCCTGTCGTTTTTGAAAATGTAACAGAGACCGCGCGGCGACAACATTGTCGTTTGGAAATTTCGTCCTGGCCTCTCCCTCCTCATCCCCGGCGGCCCTCGTCGTCGGGCCGAAGCGACGCGGACGCGTATCGCCGGACGCGAAATCATTTGCCGGGGAGTAAAACGCATTTCGCCAAAGTTGCCGAGAGTCCGCCAGATTGTGAAATTACTCGCGCACGCGGTAAATAATCGTCTGGCGATGCCATGCATGTAACGAGACACGCTATTCCGAAATTTATTTCTCTCATAATTTTGCCCACGCGCGCATTTTGATACTGATGAAAAATGTTATTATTCCTGCGTAGCTGCTGACCGAATTCGCGACCGACGGGAGAGCCCGTCTGCCGCGCTCGCACAGAGGGAAATGAATGTTTCTGTACGCACTGAATAAATAATAGCCCCGGCCGCTCGATTTTACATGCTATTTATAACGAGCGGTTGTTTGTCGGCGGTAATTGAATTTCTTTTGCGCGAAACACTCGCGCTGATTGAGCGTTAGCCCGGTCGACATCTTGGCGATGGACATCCCGTTGTTTCGTCGCGCGTTCAATGGAGGATTACTTTGCGAGTTGCTTATTATTACAGCGCGGTGCTTCCCACTGCCGCAATGCCGAAACGGAAACCGCTGTATCGCCGAATGAAAGATATATTAGCATAAATCCCGCTGAAGACCCGACGAAAATAGGACGAGCAATATTTATCGAACACGCTGATGCGTGGCACACAATTGCATACCTTTTATAAGATTTCTTGGCCTCTTAATTGAATCAGCGCGTTCGATTTCGAGGATATTCGAAAACGGCTGAACTCGTCCCGTCATTTTTACCCGCGCTCGCGCGGCGGCTGTCCGTTCGATTTCTTGACGTCTCCCTGCGCGAAAATCCCGAAAATGACCGGCTGGACGATCGATCTCGCCGACCCGAATCGAGCCCGGCGGACAC